CCCCCCCCCCGCCCCGGCTCTCTTCCAGGTCAAGGTGTTAAAGTGCATCTCCGAGGTGCAGTCAGAGAACGTGGTCCTGGGCCAGTACGTGGGCAACCCCAGCGGAGAGGGCGAGGCCACCAAAGGGTACCTGGATGACCCCACGGTACCCCGCGGCTCCATTACTGCCACCTTTGCGGCCGTTGTCCTCTACGTGGAGAACGAGAGGTGGGAAGGTAGGTGGCATCTCCAGGCCTGGCGGGCGGGCCAGCGTCTACCCAGGGAGCCCTCGTTCCCGGGGTGTGACCCGCTTGGGCGCGGCAGCCAATACACGTGGGGCGCCGGGCCCGAGGGGCGCTGGGCGGGAGAGGCCGCCTCGCCGCACACGTGCGCACTCGCCTTCACCCCCATGTCACGCTCGTTCACACAGCCCCCGCCTCACCCCCTCTCTCGCCCCCTCACGCGCGCTCAGCCTGGGCCGCTGGGGCAGCGGGACCTGAAGTCAGCTCCGCCCCAACCAGGGGTGCCCTTCGTCCTGCGCTGTGGCAAAGCCTTGAACGAGCGCAAGGCCGAGGTGCGTCTGCAGTTCCGCGACGTGTCCGGAGACATCTTCCAGCAGCAGTGCAAGCGCAACGAGCTCGTGATCCGCGTGCAGCCCAACGAGGCCGTGTACACCAAGATGATGACCAAGAAGCCTGGCATGTTCTTCAACCCTGAGGAGTCCGAGCTGGACCTGACCTACGGCAACAGATACAAGGTAGCCACGCGCCCTGGGGCGGGGGGCAGCGGGGGGCGGCCGGGGGGGTGCGCGTGCATGGGCGGCCTGAGCACGACCCCCTCCCTGTAGAACGTGAAGCTCCCCGACGCCTATGAGCGCCTTATCCTGGACGTCTTCTGTGGGAACCAGATGCACTTCGTGCGCAGGTGAGGGGCGGCCCCGGGGCCCACAGGGCAACCCGCTCCCCCACTACCCCGGGAACGACGCCAGAGCCACCCTATGTCCCCTCAGTGACGAGCTCCGGGAGGCCTGGCGGATCTTCACGCCGCTGCTGCACGAGATCGAGCGCGAAAAGCCCCAGCCCATCCCCTATGTTTATGGCAGGTGAGGCGCTGGGGCGTGGAGGGGGGAGGATGGGCTGGGGGCAAGGGACACGGGGGCCAAGGGCTCCCTCACATCTCCGCTCTGCCTGTCGCTCTCTCAGCCGAGGCCCCGCGGAGGCAGACGAGCTGATGAAGAGAGTGGGCTTCCAGTACGAGGGCACCTACAAGTGGGTGAACCCCCACAAGCTCTGAGCCCCAGGTCCCTGCCCCACCCACCGTGGCCCTGTCTGTCCTGTTCCACCCGCTCGCCCGCCACCCCGAGCCCACGTCGGGAGGGCTTCAGGACCATAAGTCTCACATTCCTGGCCCCTGGCCACCCTGCCCGCTCTGTGCCGCCTGCCACCCTGGGCCTAGCTACATTCCGCAAGCACCACGCACTCAAGACTCGCGCCATGACCATCCCTAGCTGCCACCAGCCTTTCCTGAGCCACCTCTGTCTGCGGGAGTGAGCCCCAACAGGAGGAAGTGGCGTGGCTTCTCTGCCGGTCTGGGGCTGCTCCTACCAGGACAGGAGGGAGGGATGGCAGGGAGGGGCGGCGGGCAGGCCACTCCACACTCCGCCGGCTCTGAGCGAGCTCCTCAGAACAGGGGCGGGGCGGGGGGCGAGCGCTTTCTCACCGGTCTCGGTCTCCGTGCCACTTGACATTCCTGGTCACCTGCTGGGAGGGACCTCCGTGCCGCCCCGCCGTCCCCTGTGTCATGGGCCCCCTGAATGTCCCTCCGCCCCACCGGCTCCCCCCGCCCCTCCAACTCCGCACTCCACGGCCCACGCACCTACGGGGGGCCCCCTCGCCACTGGAAAAGCAGAAACAGCAAGGGGCACTCACTGTCTCAGCCCCCTGCCATTAAATCCACAGACAGACCCGTCTGCTCCCTGGTGGTTTCCTTCCTGCCACTCGCAACCATGGAGGAGGCCACCTGCGCCTGATGCTGGCCCGTTTGGTGGAGGGCCCGGGGCCGCCCCGTTTTTGTCACCCACTTCCCTCCACAGTGTGGGCTCGGGACCTAGGCCGTCAGCCCTGACCCCGGGTGTAGCTGTGGCCAAGCCCTGCGTCCCAGCTGCCTCCTGAGCCCCCTGTCCCATCTGTGCTCTTCACTCTGCACCGAACGCTTCCATGCACTCGCTGCCCACGTGGGCATCCGCCCTGACGACGTCCCCGCCCCGGCCGGCTCGCTTAGCAGAGCGGCTGGGGGCCGTGTACACACGCCGCCGGTGCATGCTGGCGAGCGGGATCTGGGCACGAGAGGCAGAGGGGGTGCTGGGGGAGGGCGCCTGTAACAAGGCACCACGCCCGATGGGGTGGGGGGAGCATAAGACAATAGACTTTTATCCTGTCACAGTCCTGACGCCAGAAGTCTGAAACCCACGTGTTGGCAGGGCTGCACTCCCTCCGAAGACTCTAGGGGACGACCTTGCCTCTTCCACGTGCAGGTGGTGGCCAACATCCTTGGCCTTCCGTGGCTTGTACACACATTACCCCTGTGTCTGTCTGTGTCTCCACACGCCGCCTGGTGTCTGTGCATGTACGGCTCCTGCTTTCCCTCCTGAGGACACCAGTCTTGTTGCATGCATTCAGGGTGCGCTCGGCTCCAGCACGGCGTCAGCCTGGCTTCCCTTGGTTATCTCTGTAAGCGCTCTGTTTCCAAACAAGGCCATGTGCCAAGGATCCAGGTGGACACAGATCAGGGGGACCGCTGTTCATCCCAGTACACTCCCAACAAAGGCAGCAGCCCCCAGTCTTTTCTGCCACCTCCCCCAGCTCCGCTCGGCTGAGCCACAGGGACATGGCAGGAAGCGACACTGCAGTCCCTGCACTCGTGGCCTGGGTTCCACTAGATGCAACCAACCAGAAACAGAAGGACACCACGATCAGGTGCTGGTACATTTTGCGGAGGGAACAAGGGGCCCAGGAAGACACCAGGGGAGGAAGGTTCCACTCCCAGGGAGGTGAACACGTACCCCGGGGCCTTGCGGCTGGCCTGCTCCCTGTTCCGGGAGGGAGAAGGCCCTCAGGCTGTTGAGGGCATTCAGCTGTGACCCCTCCCTCCAGCTTAACCCGAGCCCCACTTGGGAGGCAATCAGTTGCCCAGAGCTTTTCGCTCCAACCGTCTAGGCCCATTCCTGCCTGCCACCGAGGAGAAGCAGCCAGCCTTAGCTCCTGCATAGCCCCCTCGCCCGGAGCTGGGATGGTAGTAGCTGGGAGCCTGGGTAGGGAGAGGCCAATGGAGTGCAGTGTGGCAGGCGGATTGCTGACTGCGGGGGGACAAACCAAGGCTCCCACCCACAACTCTGCAACAGCAGTACGGAGATGAAGAAACTCCAATGGTGGGCTGATATGTTCCCCCCACATATGCTAGGGTAGTAGGTCACCCCTGGACACATGACCTGCACCCTAGGGTGCCGTCTCCACCCTCCCACCCCCTCCTGAAGCCAGGGAAAGTGACACACCTCCAATTAAGGAAGGGGGGAGGTCACCGAGTTCACTGGAATAGGGATAGGATACAGACAGATCACAGAGCCTTGAGTGCCAGCTGGGTGGGAACTGGACCTCAAAACCTCTCCTGCCCCAGGCCCATGCAGAGAAGCTGAGGACTCCATGTGGACAGGATTGTAGGCCAGGCTTCAGCCAGAGGGCAGTGGCGTTCACCCTTATTTCTAGTGCCTGTGGCCTCCTGGAGAGGGGGCAGTGGCAAAGGCTTCCCCGGGAGTCAGTGGGGGCCAGCCTGGGAACTCACAGGCTCTCCTGGAACACTTTGGCTCCCACGTGGCTACAGAGAGTCTTTGTCCTTGGCTGTGGTGCAGCCACAGTGATGGGAGGATGAGCCGAAATGACAGGAGAGGGCCGGGCCCCGGGATGGTGGCCCGGAATGGAGCAGAATGGGTCCCTCCGTGAAGATACGGCCCGTGCCTTCCCCCTGCTTCCCCCCAGGGGGTGCTGCCCTGCCTACTCCAGGGGAAGAGCCATCTAAGTCTGCTGCTGCTGCCCTGGCCCATCCTGCAAACCTCAAATCCTCAAAATACGGATATGAGGATAATTTCAAGCCCTTGGTGATGGGGAGGAGTCAAGTAACTGAGGGTGCGGGAGTCCTTCCTGACCCCTCAGGGATCTTCAAGTTCAGAGTCCTTCGCAGTGCCACACAGGCATTCATAGACTGAGGAACCCAGCAGAGCTGGATTCTGTCGACAGTCCTCCTGGGGACCGTGCTGGCATGGCATGACCAGCGAGGGTGCTCCTGGGGGGATCCACACAGGGGCAGCAGCAGGAGGCCAAAGTAGAAGAGGGACACAGCTCCAGGGCCAACAGCACATGATGACCATGTGTGAGCACAGAGGGAGGGGTGTTGGGGCATCCCAATCTCATCGTGTTCTGAGTGTCTCTCCTGCGGCAGGCACGTGGGCCCAGGTGACGACAGTCAGCTGACATTTCAGATGTAGGTGCTACACTGGGGCAGACATAAGGGCCCTGCTGGTGACATTCAACTGTCACCTGACCTCTGGGTGCCTCTGTGGAACAAAGCGGTGAGGGCCCTGATGAGGACAGTCGACTGTCCTCTCAGCCCTAGGAGCCTGCAGTGGGGACGAGGCATGAGATCCCGGGTAAGGACATTAAGCTGTCACTTTCACTCTGGGTAGCAACATTGGTGCTGGGGTATAAATGCTTTCAACTGGCGCTGAATGTCTACACTGGGACAGGATGGGAGCACCTGTGTGAGGCCGACCAACAGTCCTGAGCTCTGGGGCCCTAAGTCCTGGGTCCGAGTTCCAACGTTCAACTACCGTTTAAGTTGATCGTACTCTAGGGCAAGGCTTGGAGGTCAGGTGTGGAGAGCCCCCTTTCAGCCTTTCGTGCCTATGCTCGGGTGAGGGGCAGGTGTGGGCACTGAGCGGTTACCTCAGGTCTGGGTCCCTACCCTGAGGCAGAACGTGAGAACCCGACACGATCCACAAGTAGCACGTCCGAAATGAGAGCTACACAGGCAGGGACGTGAACCCCGCCGGAAGGCACGCCAGTGCCTCCTCAGTGCTGTGGCCCCAGGTGACAACAGCATTCGAACGAAAGCCCATGTCTGTATCCTGTGCTGGAAAGGAGAATGAGGGACCGTTGAGGTCATTCAAGTGTCACTTTAGCTGTGGGTTATTAAACACAGAGGTCTGAAGGACTGGGTGGGGGGAAGCCAATTGTCCCTTCAGCTCTGGAGTCCCACACTGTGGCAGAGGTGAGGGCATTCGACTGCCACCTGAGATCCGGTTGCCCAATCTGGAGGCCACAAGGCCCGGGTGAGGGGGTCTACTGTGGGGTAGAAACCCGCAGGTTGGGAGGCGGACCGTTGACTGACAGCTCCGTGGCCAGTTTCTACGCTGCAAGAAGCAGAGGAGAGATCAGTTGAGGATAGCAGCCGGCACGTCCACTCCAGATTGCCTACGCTGAGGCAGAGGCAAGGGGATCCGAGGAACAACAGTCAACTGGCGCCTCAGCCGTGGGAACTATGCTGGGGCACAGGTAAGAGGGCCCACCGGAGTCATTTTCTGCTCCTTCACGCTGGCTGCCTGTGCTGGGGCGGCAACATGAGGGCCTAATCCTCCGTATGTCCGGATTGAAAAACAGTCCCCAAGAAAACAAGGGAGTTGTGCAAGGCTGTCCCACAAGGCCCCGAAGACCTGAAACTGAATGCCAGGCTTCTGGCCCATGACTTATGTGGTGCCCGTGGGGATGGTGGGTGTGCCTCAGGACCCTCAGGGGGACTCATTAAAGCAAGCGTTCCAAAATGCGTGCTCTGAGCAAGATGTAAACAGTGGCCTCTCTGAACTACCAGTCTGGCAGATGCCCCTCATCTGGCTGGCAGCCCAGGAGCTCCGTCCTGGGCACCACGGCTACAAGCATTGCAGGAAAGAGCACTGAGGAGAGCACTGGTGTTCGACAGATGGTCAGCATTATGTCTGATACCAAATTCCGTGGGGGAAAAGAAAACAAACAAACCCGTGCCTGCAGCAGCCAGGGCCTAAAACCGATTACTTTGATCTTGTGTGTTGCGTACACCAGTGTAGACGGTACTGGGTTGTAACCAGAGCTGTCACTGCCTAGCTCTACAGGCTTTGTCTGTATTTTGGATTCTTTCCTCATGAAGGCTTTGTCGTGGGGTCATTGGGTCAGGGGGCACAGGTGTCCCCCCTCCCCACCGCACTCTCATGCCACCCAGGTGCTGTCGTCCAGAAAGAAAGATGGGTCCCCCTGACAGCGGGTCCAGCTCTCCCGGTGCAGGAGGTGATTGGGGTGCACTGGGCGGTGGCAAAGACGCCTTCCTGAAGGCGCTGAGGGGAGCAGACCCGAGTTTTCCAGTATCAGAGTGAGGTGAGAGACCACGTGAACGTGCTTCCATCTAGAAAGCCGACTGTGAGGAAAGGCATCGCAAGGCCGAGCTTGGTGGCCTCTGGCTCGTCACGTTCCGGTATTTTCCCCGGTGGACTGTTCTATACCTCCTGGTTTCTAAAAGAGACACATACCAATTTTGAAAGAATTTCTAATTAAGACCCTAGATACATCCGCTTCATTCGAGGCTTCAGAAATCCGACTGCAGGGCAGGAGTGCAACCCCAGCCCTCGAAGCCTAGGAAGGCCGGCTCGTACCGCCTTAGAAGAGTCTGGGGGCAGGTTTGTACCGCGAAGCACGCGTGGATCAGGAGCGCGACCACACGGCTCCTCCCATTTGGAGGCCTGGGGACCCCGCCGGAGCGCCTTCCGAGGCCGGGCCCGTGCGGGCCCCTCCCACCCGGCGGCCAGAGCGGGTGGTGGAGGCGGGCCTGTGGGCGGGGATGCGTTGAGCCCGGGGGCGGGGACTCCACCGCCTCCTCTCCTCTGCCAGCCCCGCGGCGGGGGCGGTACCGGCGGGCTGTGGCCCCGCCCCCGGGCCGCCATTGCCGGGCTTGTCGGACCGAGCTGCGCATCTCCCTCGTCTCCCCTCGCGAGCGGAGCCGGGCGACCGGCCTGACAAGGCTGCCCACAACCCAGCTTGCATCGCCCCACGGGCCAGGCAAGTCTCCACCAGCTAACCGGCGTCGTCCGTCCCCAGCCTGGGAAGGGCGACCTGAGCACGGGGCCTCCCATGGGAGGAGGCCTCCGTCCAGGCGAACCAGCTTCACTTCCCGGCTCCAGGGGCTCCCGTGGGCACGGCCGTGAGCCGACGGGTTCCTGAGGACCTTCTTGTCCCGACAGGGCCTTTCTGCGCGTGCCCGAGGAGCCTGGCCAGGTGGTCGGACGAACAAGCCGGTGCACCGGTCGCGTCCACCCAGCAGCGAGGACCAAGCACAGGCTCACGCTTGTGTTGAGCGTGACCCAGAGTGCAGGGTCCCCAAACACTGCACCTGCCGACGACCCCAACCCCGCGGGAGAAGTGGACATGAGGTTGGCAGGTGGGTGGCGTCCAGAGTGATTGCAAAGGAGTTGGAAAGGGGATCGCCCTGGCGACCCAGGTGTCCAGAGATCGGTGTCTGGAGGTGCCCTGATGGACCACTGAGTGTGGTTTTGGAAACGGAGAACCCTGCACAAAGTGTCATTCTATGACCTTGAGCAAATCCTTTCACCTCCCAGAACTTCAAGAACTGTGAAAGGAGGATTAAGATAGTCGATTTGTCCCAACTCGGATAACCGGCCGCTGTGGCCGCTGTCTGAGAAAATGAGTTGTGCGAGAGGCTTCGCGGAGCATGGCGGCTAGCTCGAGGGGGCGGGGTGTGCTACCGGGGAGGCGTGGTTTCAGAGGAACTCAAGAATTGCCACTTCAGACCTCCTAGGGTTGCAGCGTTGTAAATCTATCCTCGTGACAACTGGCCGGTGACGGACTGGATGGGAAGTTACGGCCTCAAGATCAGTCAGGGCTGCAGCAAGAAAGGAGACGGTTAATTCAGGGCCGGGACTTGATGAGGGCACGTATAGGAGAGTAGACTGTATGTAGGGAAACGGGCACATGGAACTTTTCAGTGGAAAATAGATGAAGATCATTTGAGCAACGAGGCTGACGAGCGTCCAGATGGGGTTAGAATGTGCTGTCTGAGAAGCCAGTGGACAAGTATTTCCAGCATGGGGACCCACAAGCGACTCAGGGAGCTAACACCACGAAGGTCATAGGTGGCCTTGACAACAAGCTGCCTTGATGGGGTGATGTAGACAAGGCCAGGCTGGAGTAGGTGGGGACACAGTGTAAGGTGACATGCAGAAAGAGGCAGTGTAGATGCCTTTGGACATGCTAACTGGGAAGATGAAGGGAGGGGAGAGAGAATCACAGGATGGGGCTGTGATTCTGAAGGAGCCCCTTCGCTTCGGTGACTTCTTACAACGGGAGATGTTGAAGGTACAGGAGAAAGAACAAGATAGAGCGAATGGGGACTATGACAAGAAATCTGCGCAAGTAGGAGACCTCAGGGTCCGGCTCCCGGCAGGTGAAGGAACAGGTCTTCAAATTGAGTAGGGACCCCCTCCTCCATCATAACAGGAGAAACAGGACACGATGGATGGCACAGGAATACACTGGTAACCTCAGAGGCCAAAAGTTACAGGGCTCCACAGAGAACCCAGCTCCCAGCCTGGGGCTCTGTTTCCTCCATCTACCTGCCACGATCTCAAGTTCCTGTCCCAGGCCTGCCGGGTGGCAACAGGTCCCCACCTTCTTCTTCCCAAGGGGGCATGGAAATCCAGTCCTGAGAGGCCCTAGGGTCATTCAGGAGCTCACTGGCAACTGAGGTGGCCTTCCTGTGTCTGTCCTGCCTCCAGGCCCCCTCCGCATTGTGGCCCTGATTGTTACCGTGGGCCTCACCTGGATCGTGGTCAGCATTCTCCTAGGTGGGCCTGGCAGTGGCTTTCCTCGTATCCAGCAACTCTTCTCCAGTGAGTGTGGGACTCTTGATTGTCTGTGGAGGTCGCCAGGGTGGCCACCCTCACTCTGGGTGAGGTGGGTGTGGCCTGGGTTTTCTGTCTCCCTGGTGGGCCACCTCTAGCTAACCCCAGTCGGCCTCCTGACATCCAACACATTCTTCCCTCTACCACCCAGTTGTTTCATTTGGGAACTCCAATCCATGTATTTAGAATTCTGTGCCCAGTTGGAGTCACTAGTGTCTGAGAGAGGGGCAGGGAGGCTTCCGCTGAACACTGGGGACGACACCCTGGCTGCTCCCTGCAGGCTATATGCTGGGCTCTGAGATGGTGACAGGACTCTACGCCTTGTCATTGGTGACGATTCACCCAAGTACCATTTACAGTTGCAATTTACTTTCTTCCCGGAGCAGGGGGCTTGAATCTGGCTTAGCCCCTGGCCCCTGAGCCTGATCAATCCTCCACCTTGACTTCACGGTGTCAGGCCAGGAGGCTCTGCTACAGGGCCCTGGAGGCCTCCACCCTGACACCAACAACTCTCTGTATCCACAGGCCCAGAGAACTCAGCAACTGCAGGTAAGCCTCCCGTCACCTCCCTGCTCCTTTCCTGTGCCCAGCCCTCATACTGCTTCTCTGATACTGCTACCTGCCTTAAGGCCTGCAGGCTCTCTGTTCTCCCTTCATCCCTCCCCAAACTGGCCATCACAGCCCACTGGAGCTGCTTGCATGCTGTGAACCTAGAAATCCAGTTACTGGTAAGACAAGCATAGGATAGATGTCCCCACTGCAAGAGGGAGGAACTGGAAGGAATAAACCAGTCACCAGTCCCAGTAGGGCAAATGCCATTAGGATTCAAGGCCTGAGAAGAATCTTCTAGGGCCCAATGCTCTGTGCTCTGGATGTAACTGAACGGGGGTGAGGGGCACCCTCTGGAGTGGAGGGTGCGGTCCTACCCTCTGGGCCTGGCCCATCTCTGGCCTCGGTAGCCACCGCTCTGCCCTCAGAGCCATGCTTCTTCCTTCTGCCCCTTTTCTGTCCCTTTCAGCCCAGAACAGCACTCTTTCTGCTGGTATAAAATTCTCAAAAAACATTGTTGGTCTCTTGTGCGATTTACGAGACTCTAAGCGAGGAGATGAGAGGGCCCTCCAGATCTCTCGTGGATAAGGCCGTTTCTGTTCCTGGCTTCTACTGACATGCTTGCACGGGTCCACAAGTCGCACCCTCTGGCTCCGTAGTAAATGCTCATCCAAGCACAGAGCCTGCTCTCGCACGTTTTGCTGTGAGCACCAAGGAGAAACCAGGCCGAGCCCTCAATACTGTGTTTGGAAACCTCTTCAACTAAGTATCCCAGTTCAGTGTTTATGAGTTCTTTGCCACTTTATGAACCTTACCTCCAGGATCCAATACCATGTTCCCGGTTTCCATCGGAGACCTCACCAGAAGCGCCTTTTTAATTTTTGTTAATGTTTCTTTTTGAGAGGGAGATAGAGACACACACAGGGAGATGCGCAGAGCGCAAGTGGGGGAGGAGCAGAGAGAGAGGGAGACGCAGAAAACAAAGCAGGCTCCAGGCTCTGAGCTGTCAGCACAGAGCCTAACACGGTGGCGCTCGAACTCACGAGCCGTGAGATCATGACCTGAGCCAAACTCAGACACTTCACTGATTGAGCCACCCGGGTGCCCCACAGGAGCGCCTTTAACCTTCATGTTGCCGACGACAACGTGGTCATGATGATGTATGTGTTCTCCCCGCTCTCAAACCAGCTCTGCCCTCTTCCATCCATATTTCTACCAACAGTCCCATAAGGCAATCGAGGCCTTTTCTAGCTGCACCCCAAAATTCTACAGCCTCCCTTCATTGCCCCGTTCCAAAGCCCTTTCCACCTTTTGGGGGACTTGTTGGAGCAGCGCCCACCTCCTGCTGTCAGATGTTTCCTGGCTGTAACAAAGGAGCACGCACCACGCACACTGAGATGTTTCTTCTCCTCAGACGCGGCTTCTCCCCCAGTTCAGGAAGCCGGAAGGCTGAAGTCTGCAGGCTCCAGGGGAGGCTCCCTCCTGCCTCTTCCAGCCTGTGGGGGCCGCAGGTGCACCTTGAGCTGTGGGCACGTCCCTCCGGGCTCTGCCTCCGTCTGCACAGGGCCTCCTTTTCCGTCTCTGTCTTGTCTGTCCCTTAAAAGGACACTTGTCATTGAATTTAGGGCCACCCTACTCCAGGATGACCTCATTTTAACAAATTACATCTTCAATGAGCCTATTTTCAAATTGGCTGGTATTCAAAGGTGCTGGGAGGTAGGACTTGAACGTGTCATTTACGGGGCACAGTTGAACCTGTAACAGAGGCCAGCCGCCCTCCTCCCGTCCTCCCACCTCTGCCGTGGGGTTCAGGCGCTCTTTTTTTTTGTCACCACTTTCCTGCAATCGCCCTCCCAGCTGCCCCTTCCTTCCCCACCTGTGCTCTCTCCATGGCGGGGCCAAGCGAAGGCCAGCCCTCCTATCTCTTTTCTCCCACCAGTGGCAGAAAAGCCTCCCCGAGGTCCCTGTCACCTTGCGCTGAGGCCGGCGCCAGCAGGATGCAGAGTGTCCGTGGAAGTGTCCCTGGCCTTGGCCTAAGCCATGTCCCCCCCCCCACCCCATTGGTCCCCTGCTCTGTGGCCACTCATTCCTACCTGTGGGCTGGTCCTGACCTCCCCCTCCCAGATCTCAGGTGACCCCAGGGCCAGGCCCGTGGGTCACCCCTGCTGTACCTGCCCAGAGCCGCGAGCCAGAAAGTACAAATGCGGCCTGCCCCAGCCATGTCCCGAGGAGCACCTGGCCTTCCGCATGGTCAGCGGGGCCGCCAATGTCATCGGACCAAAGATCTGCCTCGAAGATAAGATGTGAGCTCCTTGCGGTGAGGGGGGTGGGAGCCTGAAAGCTAGATCTGTGAGGGACATTTGAGGACTCTGCTCCCCTCCTCCCCCCGCCAGGCTCATGAGCAGTGTCAAGGACAACGTGGGCCGTGGACTGAACATCGCCCTGGTGAACGGTGAGTCCCTGTGATGTGGGGTCAGAGTTCAGACCAGAGAAGCAGATCCATGCCATGATGTGCCACCCTCCTTCCCCCCACCCTCCCCATGAGGAGGCATCTGGGTGTTCGCCTTGGCCCTCTCCTCCCTCCGCCCCACTTCTGGAAATCCACAGAGAGGCCCGGAAGAGGGTCCGTGCACACTGAAGTTTCCACAGAAGAAGTGACCCAATAAACAAAAGCAGTAAAGAACCAGAAGTTTCCAGGAAGTTGGAGGGTGCTTCCTAGGGAGCCCCTGGATGGGCCGCAGCTTTCTGAACAAGGGGCATGGTGGGCATGAATGGGCAGGATGTTTGCAAAGCTTCCAGAAGGGCTGCGCCCAGTGGCCGCTGCCGTGTCCTTAGCCCGATCTAGGGTGGCCGGGATGGTATGGTGGCCTTGCCCTGGTGGCTCGCCCAGCAGGACTCTTCCCTCCCTGTCAACCCAGGGGTCAGCGGTGAGCTCATCGAAGCCCGGGCCTTTGACATGTGGGCAGGAGGTGAGTGGCGGTCATGGCCTCCTGCTCGTCGTGCGGCAGAATGACTGGGCGTCTCTCCCCTGAAGCACCGTTCTCTGTCTATTCGCCGTGGCTTCTTGAGCGCTTCCTTGGGTTTGGAAAGGGCAGGGAGAAGAACAGGTGTACGGTCATGGGCATGGCCCTGGCTTCTTGTACCAGTTTGTCCCTTTCACTTGGGGACCTTGGTGGGTGTGTCCCTGGCCTGATCCCTGCTTTAGTTTCCTTGTTTGGAGACCAAGGGTTATCGCTTCTCGGCCTTTTGGCTAAGATCAAGTGTGGAGACCAAGGGTTGGTGAGGGAGGGTTACTCAGTGGTGCCCGATGCTTTGTGTTTCATGTGACCTGACACCCCAGATGTCAACGATCTGCTGAAGTTTATTCGGCCACTGCATGAAGGTACCCTGGTGTTTGTGGCATCGTACGACGACCCAGCCACCAAGTAAGTGATTGCCGAGGCCGGCCTCAGCCTCGCCCTTCCACAGCGACTGCTTATATGTCTTCCTTCTGTGCGGCAGGATGAACGAGGAGACCAGGAAGCTTTTCAGTGATCTGGGCAGCAAGAATGTGAAGGACCTGGCCTTCCGGGACAGCTGGGTGTTTGTGGGGGCCAAGGGCGTGCAGAACAAGAGCCCCTTTGAGCAGGTACGGGTGGAGAGCCTCGCACCGCAGAATAGTGTGCCTGCCCCTTCCGTTCACCCCGCAGGCTTCCCTGGATTCTGCCCCAGCACCCCTAGCCAAGGTACCCCAGACCCCTCACCGGGTGCACAGGGAGGGGCAGTATAACGTTGACCTTCCCTGTCCTGTATGGATTTCACCCTACAGGGTCCTTAAATGCAAAGCTTTCGTAATGGCAAGGCTCACAACTAAGAGACCTTTCTCGCAAACATCTTCAAGATGCTCAGTCCTGTCCCGTGCTTCTGCAACCCCGATCCCCGATTCACACTGCACTGGCTTTCTCCCCCCAGCCCCTGCTGTCCTCTGACTGACCCCCCAGACCCACACATGTCAAGCCCCACGTGCGGGGCTGGGAGGCCTCAGGTGCCATCCTCCTCTTTGGTGAAACCACGGGGCTCCCCGCCCTGCCCCCCACAGCAGGACAAGGCAAATAGGCTGCTCCAGTGCTTTCTGGAAGGCTCTGGGTGCCTCAAAAGAGCAATTCAGCTCTCCGAGCACAAATGCTCCCTCTGGCCTTTTTCTTCCTGAAATTTCCAGCAGCCCCTGTGGGCCAGGTGAGAGCGGGAATATTCACGTGTGCCACGCACACGTACGTGCAGAGAAGCTGACTTCTTCTACTCCACCCATTCGGTAGATGAGAAAATCGAGGTGTATTGGGACAGAGGGGGTTGTGCCCCGAGAGTGCACAGTCGGTTGACAGCAGCACACGGGGACTGCAAGCCCTGTCTGTCCCTTGTGCCTTAGGGCTGAGGCCTTGACCCCCTGCTCCCCAAACCCCACAGCACGTGAAGAACAGTAAGCACACCAATAAGTACGAAGGCTGGCCCGAGGCCCTGGAGATGGAAGGCTGCATCCCCAGGAGGACGACGGCTAGCTAGCCGGCCGAGCACAGGGACCGGGCTGAGGGGGGCTGCGTGTGCCTGGCCAGGAGAAGGCGGTGGCGGCGCCGGCGTGAGGCTGAGGCCTGACCCCACGCCCAGCCGGGAGTGCTGTCTTGCCCCAACACCTCGGGGCTCCGAAGCGGTGACGGGACCAGGTGTGACCGGTGGTGGGGGTCTCTTTGTAAAGCTGCTTCCCCGGGTCAGCCCCGCCTGATTCCCAAGCACCCGTGGTCACAAGGGCCCCGGGTGCTCGCCCCTTGCTGCGCCAAGTCTGGTAGCAGCTCCGCAGTGGGTTGGGGCATCTTCCAGAACCTCTCCATCCCAGAGCCGCTCGATGCTCTTGGGGCTGATCCTGTTTCCAGGGTGATTCCTTCAGATGAGCCACACCCGGCTGCCTCCTGCGTCGCGCTCTTCGGGAAGGGGCCTCGTCGGAGCCGAGCCAGCCGGGGCACCAAAGTCGCCTGATCACCGGCCCTGTCGCGGCAGATGGCGGCTCCCATGCTTTGTCGGGGGCCCACCTTCCAGATGACCTCTCAATAAATTAGTGGCCCCAGTGGAATAAAGTGCATTAAGTGGGGAGTCGGGCAGCGTTGTCCTTGCGGGGAGGGACACGTCCCTGAGGCTTAGCCAACCTGCTCCCACAGCCTTAGCAGACACACTTTGTCTCCAGGGTTCCTGCCGCTGACAGTCACTGCGGTGGCTGAGATGTGACACAGGCAGAAAGCAGAGCAGCTCCCCAGCTGGCATTCCTGTACCCTTGCCCAGGAGAGAGGGCTCTACCCTCTGGGGGAGCAGGAAACCCACCAACTCCCTCGAACACCTCAAAGGCGGGTAGAGACAGGGATGGGGATTAAAATCAGCCCAGGTGCCTCCCCACTCCCCTCAGGCTCCCTCAAGAGCTAGGGTGTCTACCTGCAGCCCTTGGCTTTGGATGCCTTTGAGATCAAGGCTTTGAAGCCCAAGTCATGTGACCTATTTGGCATTTCTTGAGGATTACAGTTCTATTTCCCTTCGTTAAGTGAAAACCAACAAGAAACTCTAAGGAGTTTTCCTGGAATGCTACATCCCGTGGGCAAAGAAGTGGTCAGGGAAAGGGGGAAAGGCACTTGGAACTTCCTCAGTTTGGGGAATCCAGGAGCCAGCCAGGCAGCCTCGAGGGGGCCGTAGCAGTGGCGATGGACTTAATGAGTCCTACTCTGGAAACAGGCTTCCCGGGCCTCCACCTTCTAACAGGTCAGTGCTACCGGAGTGTGAACAAAGTGTCAAGAAAGGGAAGTATTTATGGAGCAGGCAGAAGAGGAGAGGCTGTCTCAAAGATCAGGGAGGGGGCGACAACAAGAGCCCGGGCGCTTGCCCGGGAGATGGTGATCAGAGAGGTCAACAGCCAGCCTGACCCCGAGCCAAGTGCTTTTTTAGAGCAGTTAGAGATGCACAGCAAAGATGAGCAGAAAGTGCAGAGAGTTCGCACAGGTAGGTCCCCAACCTACACTGACACCTCATCACCTGAACCCCAGAGTTGACGTTAGGGTTCCTTGTTGGTTTTGAACAGTCTGTGCGTTTGACAAATGTGTAATGATGTGTGTCTACCACTGTGGTATCATACGTGGATCCACTTTTAAATCTTTTATTATAGACCGTTTCAAATGTCCCCCAAGGGAGGGAAGACACTATAATGAGGTCCGACATACCTGTGGGGTTGCCCCAGTGTTTCACCTGCACCCCCACAGCCCGTATCGCCTTAGTTCCCCCATTGGCATTCCTATTATACACCTACTACCTGCGTGGGCCTCATGCCAACCCTAGCAAGAAAGGACTGTCATTCTCCCCATTCACAGAAGAGCTAAAAGTCCCCGCTGAGCCCAGGAGGTCGGAAGCCAGGTAAGTGGGGCTCCTCAAGGTTGGTAGCTTGCCCCGAATGAAACTGAATGTCACTGAAGGTCCACACTGCAAGCCTGGGAGGCCTCTCAAACCACCGCTGTGATTGCCTGACCTTCCCCAAACATTCACCAAGGCCCTGCCCTGGACCGTGTTACATTCTGGGGACAAAGGACCGAGCCCCAGCGATGGCCCCTAACTCCTCGGGGCGGGGGTGGGGGCCGTGTCTTCACTAGGAGTCTCCACAGTCACAGAGACAGAAGCACTAAGCCCAGCTTTATCCCCCACTTGGTCCAACACAGGCTACGAAGCCAATGGCGGTGTGAGGTAGAGCCTGCCCAACTTTCCAAAGTAGAGGTAAACCTTTCTATATCCTTCAGCCCTCCTCCACCGGGGTGGTGCCGCTGCCCCGAAATCCCACTCCCACCTACCAGAGTTAGGTCACCCTTTGTTTTAAAAGCCAGAGTCCCGAGTCAAACGGACATAAGCAAAAATAAGCAATGACAAAAGAGGGGGACTAGTGTTCCCACATCAGACCCCAACGCCCACAGTAATTCGAGCCCCAGTAATGTCATTAGCACGTGGGGTGATTCTCATGCAAACCTTGTGTACCAAATGTGGAGGAGGGATTGAGGTGCTGATGCTGGGTAGACAAAAATGACCGCTGTCGCTACACTTCGCTGTAAATAGCAAGTGCACGCCATACTTGTACAGAACACGTCTTCCACGCATACTTATCACAGTGTCCCCGGACAAACCTGCCTGGAGAGGAGGAAAGTAGGAGTAAGCACACCTCTTAGGGCCACCATCGTGACTCTATAACATAGTACAGTGGCAGGTCTCCCATCCGAACTGCTGTCACTGTCGTTTGCTCTGTATGTTCTCTCAGTCTAGATGACATTCTCTTGCCATTAATTTAGCCGTCCCTTTTTCCTGTAGAGGCCGCCAAGTTCCCTCATGCCAGACCCCCCACCAGCCCACTCTGGCTTTTCAGGGAGTGCTGAAGCGACTGACAATAACGGGGAGCAGCCTTCTGACTACATTTGTTCCCCTTGACCCCTGGCCCCAATTCCCATTTAGTTGAATGATTAAAACATAGGTTTCCTCCAGGGGGGACAAGTCTTTTAGGTTTTCCTTCCCCTGCCTTTCTGGCTGACCCATTCCTCCTCTCCCTATGGCCAGTAATACCCAGTCCCCGACGGCCCCACCCCCACTGCCCTTTTGCAAACTGCACCCTGCTTCCATCAGGACTCCCTCAACCTCATTTGAGAGGGACAGTACGGAGATGTTCTTAGACAAAGTACACACACACACACACACGGCTTATGCCTTACTGGTCCTCTGAGGCTAAACAACAGCCTAGAGCTAGGGCCTCTGAATGTTTCTGATCACTGACATAAATCAAACCATTTTAAGCATACACCCCAACCATGTGTTTAACTGTTTACATATCGTACACACGTACCAATCTGAACTTTATAAAACACACACAAATACAAATTTTAAAGTAAAATGTATTCAAGTAAGCTTAAACTTAATATATTTTTACTTCTTAAATTAACAGATTTTTATTAAAGTTATTCTGTACTTGAAAAATTAAAATACAGAGGCGCCTGGGTGGCTCAGTCGGTTAAGCGTCCGACTTC